TATAATTTTAATTTTATTGCAAATCTTATCTTTCAAAATATTGACGGCGTCTTCCGAAATTCCACCGCTTAATAAAAATTTATTTAAGTTTTCAGTACTGTTTAACGTCTCCTAACGAAAGAAAAAAATTTAATATTATTTCAACAGACTTAACTATAACCGAGATTTTACAGCACATGGTACGCACTTGCCGATTTAATAAACTACAAGTCATTATATAAGTTACTTCTCATTGTATTTAATACTTGTTTATCGATATGTAAACCGAATTTATGACGAAGCTACGTAGCACGGCGAAGCACATGTTGTGAGATCTCGATTTACTCTTTCTGTAACCAAATCTAGAAAAACAATTTAATCTAAACACCATTCTTTACATAATATATTAAATCAGTAAATAAACTACACATAAATTCTTATAAGCACTTACCTCTGGAAGAAACGTTGACATTTTTATATGTCTATCTACGTGTATTCTTTATAGATATTCTTATTTATATCCACGATGTCTTGCACCAAATACGTGTAACAATGAGACGAGTACAAGAGATAATGAGACGATTACAAGAGACGCCTTCCTTGACAACAGTTATCATAAATTAAATCAATAAAAAAAAACAGACGGATCTATTGAATAGGATGAAGGCATCGGCAAAGCGTTTGTTTTAAAATTACGCGCATTTCATTCACTCTTCATGTGAATGAAATAGTCACTCCACACTGCATAGAGTGAAAATAATCACTCTACAAAATAAAGTACACATAATCACTCTACTTTGCAGAGTGAAAAATTCACTCTACAACAAAAAGAGAGAGAATTAACTCCGTATGAATGAAAAGTCACTCTACTCGAGTGACACGACCAGTCACTCAATTTTTCGAATGCATTATCACTCTAAGAAATTTAGAGAGTACGCATTATCCGATTTATTTTCAGCTACCAGTATAAGTATATTGATACTTCAGAAATAAATTAATTTAACGTTTGTTGAACTCAAATTTATCTTTAAAAATTGTTCATCAATGATTTACTGTTAAATTTATTGGAACATGATGGATTTTTAATAAAAAAACAAAGACAACAGAAGTTTCATAATTAAATCGTTTTCAAGGACATTGCTGTGTCGTCTTTTAAAAAGGTTGAACTTTGTTATTTGCTGTTGAAGCTATTGAAACCAAATGTTGTGTGTAAATACGGACAGAGTCGGACAAAAAACTCTTAAAAAAGGGTTTATTGGTTTACGAGCCCTACTTCCGATTATCACCTCCATTACACGTTCCCTTATTAAGGCTTTCGACGATATACACCCCAACCGTGGGAACGCACGTTTTTAATTGGCCGAGAGTGGCAATAACGCCGGAAAGAAACTCGAGAAATAAATCGACGACGATGATGACGACGACGAGAATGACGACGATGACGTGTAACGTTACGCAGTGTCGTAGATCGCGTATCGTTCTCGAATTCTCTCGAGAGTCGCCTCCTCTCCTTTTTTAGCGCCGCCGGAAGCGCTAATAATGGATCACGGAAATGTGAGATCGATTGTATGCATGCAAGATTGAAAATCGTCGTCAGATTGTGAAACATTTTCCGCAAATAGATTTTTACATAAATTGTAAATTTTATCAAATATATAATGGCTTTTCGAGCCGTCGCGGTTGCAATAATTTATTTTTATATTGGAACTATATTCGTCTACATCGAGACATTAATATGCACACCGATCTCAAATTGAGATACTTAAAATATACGAAAATCAAATATTGTACATTGATCTCACAACGGAGAATCAAAATATACAAATTAGAGAAATATAGGAAAGAAGAACGAAAGTAAAAATAATACTCGGCTAACCACTCGCGCCTTGATATTTTTAATTTAACGTCTCGATATAAACGAATACTTAGTTTCAATATGAAATTAAATTATTTCGCACCGCGACGGTTTGAGAACCCATTATTATATTATGCTTAATAGATTATCGATTACGAGCCTTTCTCAAATCAATTGTAAATTTTAATCGGTTTACTGATGCGATTTCATTTTGGTCGCTCGTATACGTATTATTTTATGCATTAATACATATATCGATACGTCCATTTTCCTTCCTTTTCTTTTCTTTGAACGAACAGCGTCCAAGTCGATATCGTCTATTAAAGGATATGAACCACCGAACGGTGCAAACAACTTGCAACACAGGTGAATAATAAGATGGATTTAATTTTAAATGTATATCGTGTTATGATATTAACAATTAATAATATTTTGGCAAAGAAGAAAGATCTCACATGATATGTTATCTATAATATATTTATAAAAGATTGTCATTATATATCTATTTACACTTTTATAAAGCTCAATTATTCTCCAAGTATTTCCAACATTAATTTCTTTCGTAGATTTTTTTTAACTTTTTTTAACTTTTAAATTTTAACAGCCGCTAAACTGAGAGGAAAGAGAGCCGCTGTTAAAATATTATCTTCCAATTATCTTCTATATATGCATTATCCTGTGTACCATATTTTACTAGAATAAAATTGCTAAGAAATTGTACTCAATTAATTGCTAATTATCCATTTTTACACAGCTCTCCAATTAGAACTGTTTTACAATGATTTCTACAATTGAGGGATCGCCTCTTTCAAGTCGTTTCAGTCCGTCGCTAGTCAGAGACAGAAAATATGTCGTGTCCTTGCTGGGAGCAACTGAGAGTGCCGAGAACGCGCGAGTCGTGGCGTACCGCGAGTCGACAGACCGTGCTCAATAAACGCACGTCATTTCGAGTCATTCATGCATCTGCAGGTTGTCCTCGCGTCTCTCTCACTACACACGACACATACGGGCGTGCCGGTGTGAGTTCAACTGCGTTGCGCACGTGTGTACTCGCGCATTGATCGCACAGCACGATGTTCCGCGAAGATCGCGTAGAT